CTGTTTTGATAATTTACTGTTCTCCAGAGGGGGGGAAAAGCTTTTCTAAACTTTAAGAAGGTCAGAAAAAAATTGGTTGGTTTAAAGGCATATATGTCCCAGAACAATGTCAAAAGGCATTGTTTTACTAAGATAGATAGGTATGTATGTTACTGTAAGCGGAAGCTACATATATTTTTAATATAGTATATAATATATAATTACTTTTTAATGTACATTAACTTTCTCTTTTCAGTAGAATCAATATTTGAATCTTTATAATAACACCTGAAAGCAACAGTCAAGAACATAATATTAGCTGAGACCAAAATACTATCTCTTACAAATAAACTGTTATTTGCTGCTAAATAGAATTCAGTTTTACATCTGTGTTTTGAGTAACTTAGGCACTGATCAACGTGTTATAACAGAATTAAGAAATAAGATAAGAGTATAAGAATGGGACTATCTGATAATATCTCTTGGCTCTGTGTACGTTTATATTTATATTATCAGCACAGTTAACTACAACATGCTACACATTGTTCTCCTGTCTGATTATTTAGGTTGTACTGAAAACGAGAGGACAAAGGTCACATAAGAACGGCCATACTCGGTCAGACCAATGGTCTCTCTAGCTCAGTATCCTGTCTGCTGACAGTGGCCAATACCAGATGCCTGAGAGGGAGGGAACACAACAGGCAATCCTCACATGATCCCTCCTCGTCACCCATTTCCAGACAAAATATCTTTAAAACTTTCTACATTAACCAAACAATAATTGTATAGCATATATGTAGAATAAAGGATAGTGCAAGATTCATGTTAGGGTTTGATATCCTGTCTGACACACACAGGGTTGCACTGCAATACGAGTTGCATGCTCATGTGCAACTGTTGATATTAACTTGGGATTAAAACACTGACTTATTCGCAATATTTGTATTTTATTTTAATTCTAATAGAATATTTCTATTCTTTAAAGCTGAAAACTCGCCAAGGAACTGAACTCTTAATTCAATCTGATAATGACGTTTTTATTAATGAGTGGTTCAAAGTTCTTAATTATACTATCAGTAATCAGGTATGTACTTAAATTTTGAAGATACTTTTTCAGTACTGTCAAAATAGAAATTGTTTTGTGAACCTACTCCATGATTCCAGCTCTTCAAGCACAAAGTGTATCACTCATACTTTCATTTCTTGACTTCTTAGAGAGTGATTACTGTATATTGTAGGTGGGAAAAGGAAAGTAGCTAGTTCAGTGATCCCTGCTGCTGCCTTGCTAATGTTATGGGAATAGGCATTGTCTAATAGCATACTTGACTGGAACTACAAAGACCTGGATTCAGTTTTCAACTCAGCTGAAAATTCTGTACAGGTTGCTTTTTTTGAGCAAGTCCCTTGATCTTCCCTGTGTCTCAATTCTCCATCTGCTAAATGAGGATAATACTTTTTTGGTGAAAAAGCACTATGAAGATACAATCTATATATGTCTGATGTACTTGAATGCTGCTGAAAAGATGGTGTTGAAGGAGCTCCATCACAGTCAGTTTTTTAGAGCTAGGCATTGCATGAAGACTGCAATAGTGACTGTTATGACTGTTATATTTCTGGCAACGAATAACAGTTTCATTTATTGCTGATTGTTTTAGACTGTCATCTGCCTTCAGTATTCTTGACCACAAGATGGTGTTGGCACGTGTCATTCTCTGGAACACATAGATAAGAGTGGCCTCACTCGTTTCTTCACATTGCTACGGGATAATTTTAGACAATTGCTCATCTACCTTAAGGGCTTTCTCCTGGTCAACATGTATATGTTTAAAATGTTAATTAAAAGTTAGGAGCTGCACTGTCACCAGTATGCAGATGGTTCCAAATTTGTCTTCCTCTTATCTGATCCATAGTCCACAACTGATTACCTATTATTAACTGTTTGCAATTTAATTTATGGCTAGCTGGTTAAGATTCAGTCCAGACAAGAATGAAGTAGAGCTTATTTGGCTGGGGGAGGCAACTTATAAAATTAGCTGCATTTATTTTGAATCCCTTGATTGTGGGAATACTTTAATTGTAGGGTGCTTATGTACATTCCCAGACAGGAGGCCTTTCCATGCGGCAGTTACATCTCCTGTCGGGGAGCATGCAAGCCAGTTACTCACACTAGCATGACCAGGAATAGCTGCCAGTAAGCATTATGCCCTCAGCAATGGACAGAAATAGGTATGGTACAGACACACCAGAAGACTGGGCAATTCAGTTGTGAAACTTGGAAATAGCACTGTATTCACAGCAGATTCTGAATATCCAGATGAAAGCACTCTTTGCCATTGCTGCTCTGCAGTGGCTGACAGAGTTCCAACTTTTTTGTGTTGAAGACTTCAGTACATGTCTTAATTTTTGACACTTCAAGATTCAGTACTTGCAATATATTGTACAAGGGACTAGACCTGAAAACCATTTAAAAACTTTATCTAGTACCTAATGTGGCTGCCCATTCGGTTAGAGAGATCTCTGCGAGTGAACATGTTGTCAGTTGAATTCCAGTTAATTTCTTGGTGCTATTCAAGATTTTGGCTTTAATTTGTTTAGTCATAAATAGTTTGAGATCATCTAAGGGTCTGAAAGAAAGAGGATACTGACCAAGTGCTCTTAGTGAGAGATCTTTATCTATGGTAGTCTAACACTGTTGTAATGAGAACTTAAGTGTTATCTTCAGGGCATTCTGGACATTTTATCCATTCTCCTAGTTGTTCAAGAAGGAGCAGAGAATGAGGAAGTGTTAGGGTTAACTTCTAACCTTGTTTAATGGATGATTGTTGTAATTGCTAGATTTATAAATGTGTAGATGTGATCAGAGCATTGATTACTGTTGAGTTTTTAAAAATAAAAATACCTTACTCTTTCCTCAAAGTACCGTAATGCCCATTCAGGCCTGGAAATAGTGTGGAAATCAAGTCTAAAACAGACTTGTTACATATTTATGAAGTAGATGTACATCATTCCTAGAATCATGGAACAGTGTGCAAGGGACATAATATGAAGATGTATCACTAAAGTCCATGACAGCATCCTTGCCAAACTACTAGTATCTCTGGAATTATGTGTTCAATGCAGGTATCACGTTGCAGACCGTTTCACTGGGGCTTTGGCAAAATCCCTCTGATTAGTTAGAACTTGTGCCTCATCGTGGAAACTAATCCTTCTTCTTCGAGTGCTTGCTCATGTCCATTCTGATTAGGTGTACGCGCGCCGCGTGCACGGATTCCGGAGCTTTTTTCCCTTAGCAGTACCCATAGGGCCAGCAGGGAGCCCACTGGAGTGGCGCCGGTATACTGGTGCATATATACCCCTGCTGGCCCTCCCACCCCTCAGTTCCTTCTCACCGCTCGTGACGGTAGCTGGAGCGTGCTTCAGGCTATTGCCTATCTCTTAGCAGCTTATCTCTTATCCGTTGTGTTATAGTTCGCAGTTGAAGTTTCTTTTCTAGTTAAGTAGTTAAGTACTGTAAATAGTTATTTAGATAAGGGAGCAGTGGAACCCTCCCGCGAGGGGAGGGCATGCCAGGGCCCCAGGGCTTCAAACCCTGTGCCTCCTGCTCCAAGCCTATGCCCTGCGGAGACCCTCATTCTGACTGCCTTAAGTGTCTGGGTGAGGCTCATCGAGCTGAAAGCTGCTCTATCTGCAAGAGCTTTAAACCCAGGACTAAGAAGGAGAGGGACTTCCGACTGAAACTCCTGCTAGTGGAGTCGGCACTGCAGCCTCAGGGCGAGGAGCGGCCTCACTCCGCCCGCAGCGCACCGACGGCGGCACCGTCGGACAGCAGGGCACCGAGACGCAGATCGCCGTCACCGGTGCCGAGGGCCTCCAAGAGCTCGAGGGGTCGTTCGGCAGAGAGGAGTGCCCAGAAGGTGCGCCCTAAGGAGGGGCACCTTTCTTCTAAGTCCTCTAGGAAGAGGCACAGCCCGGACAAGGGCAAGAGCCCTGGGCAGACAGTGGGGCTAGGAGAGGTCCGTCAGCCTTCCACCCCAGAGACCTTTGAGGCAGCCCGGGACCTCATCCACATGGCGGTGGATGAAGGGGAGGGCCCGGTACCGCAGGAGCGGACCGCGCCGGCACAGGCCTCAAGTGCCCCCCAGCAGGACAGGGCTGGGCCGTGGGACCCTCTGGGCGACGGGCAGGCCTCGGCCCAGCAGCAGCAGTTTCCCCCGGTGCCGGGGAGAACACCGGCACCGGAGCCGGGACGAACACCGGCACCGACCCCGGGCCCGCTCCCCACGGCACCGGCAGCGACTCCGGGAGCGTGTGGGCTCGCTACGCCGACGGCACCGGTGCAGGGCCCGGTGCCGCAGATGGCTCCCTGGGCGGTGCAGGGCCCCGCACCGTATTACGCGCCGCCTGCGGTGCCGCAACAGGCGCCCCGCACGGCACCGACGCTGTTGCCGCTCCCGGCACCGATCCCTGCTTACTCCTTGGGGGCACAGCAGCAGAGCGCGGCACCGGTGCACGTGACGGCACCAGAGGGGTACGCACCGGTCTATCAGATGCACCCGGGCGCGGTACCGCCGCAGCAAAGGCCTCCACTCATGCCCCCACCGGCACCGTGTGCGGTGCACGGGCAAGCCATCGGCCATGGCAGCCCAGAGAAGGGGGCCATGGCAGACCAACGTAGGGTGTAGTCTTCATCAGGGCCTCCATGATCGGCATCAGAGTACTCTTCGGAGTCGTAGGCTGAGTCAGTGGTTTCGACCGGGCCCTCATATAGGTCCCGGCTTCACCATAGGTCTCGCTCGTCGGTGAGATCATCTCACCGGGATCCGATGGTCCAGCAGCAGTCGCAGGGGCAACCCCAGTGGGCTTTCTGGACGCCCTGGGCATACCATCAGGCCCAGGGGCCTCTCCCTTCGGGGCCGGCAGCGGGGTCATCTCGAAGAAGTAGCACCCCATCTGCCACCCCCTTGACAGCCCCCCCGCCTGGAGGTGGCTCGCCCATGGCATCGGGGCCGACCGTTGAGGCAATCCCCTCAAGGGACTTCTCGTCGTCCTCGCCAGACGAGGCCCTGGCCGACCCCGCACCTCAGCCCCCATCCATGGACTCCAGGGCGCACCAGGAGCTGCTCCGGAGGCTGGCGGTCAACCTTGCGGTCCAGCACGAGGAGGTTCACGAGGACTTAGATCCGATGGTGGACATCATAGCGGCAGCGGGCCCTGGTCGGGTGGCGCTCCCACTGAATAAAACGGTGGACAAGCTGTCTAAAACCCTGTGGCAGACGCCGGCCTCTATTGCACCGACCCAGAAGGGGGTCGAGAGACGATACTATGTACCCCAGGAGGGGCATGAGTATCTGTTTACCCACCCGGCTCCGGGATCCATAGTGGTTCAGGCCGCTGGGCAGAAGGAGCGCCAAGGGCCTCCAGGCCCCACTCCAAAGGCAAAGGAGCCTAGGAGATTTGACCTGCTTGGCCGGAAGGCCTATGCCACAGGGGGCCTCCAGCTAAGTATAGCTAACCAGCAACTGATGATGGGGCGTTATGCTTTTAATATGTGGGCGTCCACGCAAAAATTTGCCAGCCAGCTTCCTCCCGAATCCCGCCAGGAGTTCGAGGCCTTGACAGAAGAGGGGCAAGCAGTGGCGCGTACCTCTCTCCAGGCGGCCTTGGACGCAGCTGATTCAGCAGCCCGCACCATGGCCACAGGGGTGGTGATGAGGCGTAGTGCCTGGCAGGTGTCTGGCATCCCACTCGAGGTGCAGACTACTATCCAGGACCTGCCCTTTGAGGGGCCGGCCTTATTTTCAGAGCAGACTGATTCCAAGCTGCATAGCCTGAAAGACTCAAGGACAACCCTGAAGTCGCTAGGGATACATACCCCGGCGCCTCAGAGGCGCTCTTTCCAGGCTAGGCCCTACCCTAGAAGGGGGCAGAACAATGAAAGGGGTCACAGGAGAGGCTGCAACAATCGCCGCCCTGACCTTTTCAGGGGCAGGCGTAGGGGGCCTCAGTCAGACTCCGAGAGAAGTTCAGGGCTGTCCCCCGGTCCCCAAGCTAAGCCCTCATTTTGAAGGTACGCCAGAGAGCAGAGTACCAGTAGCACCTATCTGTCCGCCCTTTGGGGACCGTCTTTCCCTTTTTTTCCAGGGATGGTTAAAGATCACATCGGACCGTTGGGTCCTAGACCTGGTGAAGCAGGGATATACTATCCCCTTCCTTTCTTACCCTGCCTCCCATCCCCCAGCCTTGTCCCTTTTCAGGGACCCCTCTCATGAGATGCTCCTTCGGCAGGAGGTGTCCAACCTGTTGATGCTAGGGGCCATAGAAAGGGTACCTCCAAACGTAAGGGGAAAGGGTTTCTACTCCTGCTACTTCCTGGTACCCAAGGCAAAAGGGGGTATGCGTCCCATACTAGACCTCCGAAACCTGAACACCTTTATAAGGAAGACGAAGTTCAGGATGGTGACGCTAGCCCGCATCATGCCATCGCTCAGAAAGGGGGACGGGTATGCTGCTCTCGATTTAAAAGATGCGTACTTCCACATTTCAATTTTTCCAAGTCACAGAAAATTCCTCCGGTTCACGGTGGGGCAGGATCACTTTCAGTTTACGGTCCTCCCCTTTGGACTGTGTACGGCCCCGAGGGTCTTTACCAAATGTATGACCGTGGTAGCCGCGTTCCTGAGGCGGCACAAGGTCCAGGTGTTCCCATATCTGGACGACTGGCTCATAAAGGGCAAGTCTCGAGAACAGGTACTGGACCATGTCTCGAGGGCCAGAGCTCTGTTCGAGGGCCTCGGCCTCCTCATAAACGAGGCCAAATCACTGCTGGAGCCCACGCAGGTCATAGACTTTGTGGGGCACGGTGGGGCAGGATCACTTTCAGTTTACGGTCCTCCCCTTTGGACTGTGTACGGCCCCGAGGGTCTTTACCAAATGTATGACCTTGGTAGCCGCGTTCCTGAGGCGGCACAAGGTCCAGGTGTTCCCATATCTGGACGACTGGCTCATAAAGGGCAAGTCTCAAGAACAGGTACCGGACCATGTCTCAAGGGCCAGAGCTCTGTTCGAGGGCCTCGGCCTCCTCATAAACGAGGCCAAATCACTGCTGGAGCCCACGCAGGTCATAGACTTTGTGGGGGCCCATCTGGACTCGCCTATGGGCAACGCGTCCCTGCTGAGAGACAGATTTTCGACCATTCAATCGCTGGTAGTGGGGCTGCAGGAGTTCCCGACTACGACGGCGAGGACCTGCATGAGGCTGCTAGGCCACATGGCGGCGGGCACTTACGTGGTCCAACATGCCAGGCTACGCATGCGCCCATTGCAGGGGTGTCTCAAGGTAGCGCATAACCCCTTGAGGTCGCTGCTGGATGCGGTGGTAACTATCCCCCAGGATGTCCTGCGCTCGCTGGACTGGTGGAAGGACGAGAGCACGGTGTGTGCGGGGGTCTAATTCACTAAGCCGTCCCCGTCGGTGCAGCTGGTCACGGACGCCTCGGACGTGGGATGGGGCGCTCACCTGGGCAACCTCAGGACACAAGGTATGTGGTCGGCAGAGGAGGCTCACCTCCATATAAATATCAAGGAGCTGCAGGCGGTCAGGTTGGCCTGCAGGGCGTTCCTTCCCCACTTACAGAACAGAGTGGTGGCGGTGCTGACAGATCAGAGTGGTGGCGGTGCTGACAGACAACACTACGGCCATGTTCTATATCAACAAACAGGGTGGGGCGCGTTCCTCTCCCCTGTGCCGGGAAGCCCTAGAGCTATGGGAACTGTATATAGCCCACAGCATTTCTCTGGAGGCGTCTCATCTCCCAGGAACGGGCTGGCAGACAGGCTCAGCCGTTCAATCCGGGCGCACGAGTGGGTGCTAAGGGGGGATGTACTTCACGAGGTCTTCCAGAGGTGGGGGTTTCTCCGTCTGGACCTGTTCACAACTCCAAGCAACGCCAAGTGCGGGGAGTTCTGTTCGTACATGGGGCACGGGCAGGGCTCTCAGGGAGATGCGCTGCAGGTCAACTGGCCCAGGGGCCTACTCTATGCCTTCCCCCTGTTCCCTCTGATCCACGACACACTCCTCAGAGTGCAGAGGTTCAGGGCTCGGGCCATCCTGATAGCGCCAGTATGGCAGTGCCCCCCAGGGCCAGAGCGAGCCTGCTCCAGAGGAGTCCAGGAGGTCCTCTTAGCCTTATAAAGGGCTCTAGTGGACGGCTTTCTGCTTTCTAAGTGGAAGAGGTTTACTTCTTGGCTGGAGGGCAGGACGCTCGCTCCAGGTGAAGGGGCGGTTCCGACTGTCCTGGAATTCCTTCTCCACCTGTGGAAACAGGGCCTGGCCACAGCCTCCCTAAGGGTGTACCTGGCGGCCATTGCGCCCTTCCACACCGGGCGGGGGGGGGAGGGGTAAAGGTCTATCTTTGCCAACCCCTTGGATAAAAGGTTTCTAAAGGGAGTCGACAGGTTGATGCCATATGAGAGGCCTCCGGTACCGGCATGGGACCGTAACCTGGTCCTGACTGCCCTTATGAAGCCCCCGTTCGAGCCCCTAGCTTCATGCTCCCTGACACATCTATCTTACAAGGTAGCTTTCCTTGTGGCCATCACCTCTGCCAGGCGGGTGTCTGAGCTTAAGGCTCTCACCTCAGAACCACCTTACACGGTGTTTTTTAAAGACAAAGTGAGGTTACGTCCACACCCGGGATTTCTTCCCAAGGTGGTCTCACACTTCCACATGTCCCAGGATATTTACCTGCCAGTGTTTTACCCTAAGCCACACGCGTCGCCCAGGGAACAGGCTCTGCACTGCCTGGACGTTAGGAGGGCGTTGGCTTTTTATATAGATAGGACACGAGAGTTTCGTAAGTCAAATCAACTGTTTATTTCAGTGGCAGAAAGGATGTATGGTCAGCCAGTCTCAACGCAGCGTATATCCTCATGGATTACTTCCTGTATTCGACTGTGCTACGAGGGCGCGGGTAAACCACCGCCGCGCATAACAGCACATTCCACTAGAGCCCAGGCGGCGGCGTTCCTGGCCTGCGTGCCGATCTTGGAGATCTGCAGGGCAGCAACCTGGTCATCAGTGCACACCTTTGCAGAGCATTATGCAATCACGCAGCTGGCCAGGGAGGATGCTGCTGTCCAGACGGCAGTTCTGTGTTCTGCAGAATAAGATAATAGTCAGTCACCTTCCGACCCCGCCTCTGGAGGGGGGACATGGCTAGGGACTCACCTAATCAGAATGGACATGAGCAAGCACTCGAAGAAGAAGAGGTTACTTACCTCGTAACTGTAGTTCTTCGAGATGTTGCTCATGTCCATTCTGCATCCCACCCACCTCCCCATGTCGGAAGGAGCCGGCAAGAAGGAACTGAGGGGTGGGAGGGCCAGCAGGGGTATATATGCACCGGTATACCGGCGCCACTCCAGGGGGCTCCCTGCTGGCCCTATGGGTACTGCTAAGGGAAAAAAGCTCCGGAATCCGTGCACGCGGTGCACGTACACCTAATCAGAATGGACATGAGCAACACATCTTGAAGAACTACAGTTACGAGGTAAGTAACCTCTTCGCACCGATTACATCTTAGTGAGCTTTCATTTTAACATTCCAAGAGAACACTGACATTAGCAAAAAGGCTGACAAGATCACTGTATCAAATTCTTTGGTGTGGTGTTCTGTCACTGTCTGACAGTGCTTTGCCATTGTCATTTCCAATCTCTGCCATGGGAAACTGCTACTTATTTATACCCATATCTGCCAAAGATAGGGAAAACGCTTCAGGGGCACTTGATATATTTTATGGGGGGAAATAGAAGTAAAATAGCAAAGTCTACCTGCTCATGAAAGAATATTTTATATATGATTGGTTGGTTGATACTACAAAATTTCAGCAGGGTAGGTGTACTACAGGTTGAACCTCCCTGGTCAAACCCTGGGGACCTGACTGGTTCTGAATCAGGGGAGGTCAATGATGGCCCCTCTGCTCCCAGAGGCCAGCCTAGCTCTGATCCTGACCAACAGCCCTCAGGGTACCGCAGCTCTGCTATTCTGGCAGTTCCGCTGGTCTCAGCCTGCTTGGTTTTCCCCATGAGTGCTCCAGATGTGGATGCTGGAGTAGGGAAGACTGGATTACAGAAGTTCAAACTGTGCTTCTGTTTTGACCCTGGCTGGATTCAGTTAATGTAATGAGTGTCCGCTGATATTTTCTCTATTGGGCCTTGTGAACAAATCCTGCAATTGTTAAGGGTTAATACTAGTCTTGATGGTACTGGCTGAACCTCAGTAAACTGAGACACTCTGATCCAGCAACATCCGTAATTGGTCAGAACCACAGATATTGCAGGACCAGAGAGTCCCAGTGGAGGGCTGGTGGCTAAGAACTCAGCCGGCTGGCAGGACAACAGACTGCCAGCAGCAAGCTGCCCAGTGGGGCTGGGAGCCCGGTGCATTCCAGCAGAGCTGCCTGGCGGGGCTGGTAGCTCAGAGCACCCCAACAGGAAAGTGGGAGTCAGGGACCAGCAGGGCAGTGGGCCCAGGGCAGAGCCAGTTGGCTGGTGGCCAGTCTAGGGTTGAGGGGGCCAGTAGCACAGGGCCAAATATGACCTCCTCTGGTCCAGCAAAATCCCTCATCCGGGACCAGTCAGGTACCAAGGGTGTTGGATTAGGGAGGTGGAACCTGTATCTAATTCCAAGAAGTTAACTATTTAAATGTTTTAAAAACCATATTTGTATTATGAGACTCTCTATGGATTACAGTTATTAATAAAATATACTGTTGTCCTGGGAACTGTCAGAGCTGTTTGAGACAATCAGTGTCTATTTTTAATCAATAGGCAGTGGAGTCTGATGAAGTATTAGAAGATGATGTACCAGATTCACCAGGGGTGGAAAAACAAGACAAAGAGAAGGACCATAAGGACTCCAAGAAAGTTCGTTGTAAGTTAAGCTAATTCCCAATAAAACCATCATGATTAAAATCTACCTGATTAAGATTGGAGATAATATAGTTTAAATATAAAGACTATTTAGTACATTGCATCTTAAAACAACTTTAAAAAGCAAACAAATGAAAGAACATAGGAAGTTAAAAGTTCTCTAAGCAAACCCAACAGCCATTTACCTTACTACACAGTGCACTATCTATATACTGATTAAGTATTATAACTATTTTTCAAAGTTATGATATTTAGCTGTTTGGTTTTTTATAAGCATTACAGGATGTAAGAGACATACCTCATAATTTGAAGTTCAGATGTTTTTAGTTAACGTGATTTTTGGATAAGGTTGGGTGGAAAAAAGTAAATGCTGTTCTAGAATCCAGGACTAGTGAATAAAATGAATGTGAAGTTTCTGTACTAGATAATTAGATTTAAGTTAGCAGATATATCAATATCTGCAGTGTTTTGTTTTTTTTTAAAGAAAAAGAGAGAGAATAATTTGCACTGTGTATTTTAATGTGATAGTATATTTTATTTTTTTCCTAGAAGTATTCGTAAGCTTCAGGAAATATTTCCTTGTATTGTTCCCTGGGCACGCGATTTAGCTACTTAATGCTTGTCATGTTTATTTTTACGTTGCTATATATTTATTTTCTTATTTTTAGCAATGAAAATATCTGGCAGCATAGATTCCCCAGAGCAGAAGAAGACCAAAACAAAGCTGAAGAAATTTCTTACACGACGTCCTACGTTACAAGCTGTTCGAGAAAAAGGCTACATTAAGGGTAAATTATTCTTATTTCTGCAGGAAGCCTTTTGATAAACTGAATTTTACAATCATGTCTCTTGTAGGGAGTAATTATTGGAGTTCAAATGGAAACCAGGCTTACAAAGTTGACTACACGTGGTGGAAAAGGACTCAGTTATTTTTGTAATGGATGGCAGATGTGAGTTTTTCAGGTTCCTAGGTAGATGCAGGTCATTCTTTCAACAGCCTAGTGATCACCAAATTTAACTACAGAGAGGAAGCTGTTTTTCACATTACAATGGATAGAGATGAAAGTGTGGGGTGGATGAGATCCCTAGAACCCATTGGGCATTGAAGTGCTTCTGGGACGCAGAGTCCATTTGTTCTGCATTTTCTGTGGGAAAGCTTGGGTACCCAACACTCCTTTGTTTACTGACAAAATGATATTACAATGCAGAGTTGAATGCATGTAGATTCTCATGTTTCAGATAGGGACCTTCCAATATGCATGGCATCAGACAGCCATTAGCTATTCAGAAATAACTGAAATACTAAACCAAACAGAATGAATTTAAAGCACCCTAACTTATAATTTCTTTACTCTTGGTCAGTTTGTTTTTAGCTTAAATATTTATTAAATTTACTTTTGCTGTTTTCCAAAAAGTAGTTCTTCGGGTGATTGCTCATGTCCATTCACCGTAGGTGTGTGCACTTACCACATGCACCAGTTCTAGAAAATTTCCCCTCAGCAGTATCCATAGGAAGCCTTGTCCAAGTGCCTCCTGGAATGGCGCCCATATGCTACACTATGTAGGGGAACTCCTGGACCCCTCTTTCCAATTCCTTCTTGTTGCTAGTGATGGTGCTTGGAACTTTGCTCTAGCTTTCTGCAGCACTCTTTAGTATTTCCCCTCTTCTAAAGTATAAATGGGTTTAAATTGTTGATAGCTGATTAATTATTAGTCTTTATAAA